AACTCTCTTACTCTCCCCCTCCCGACCCCCTCCCGACCCCCCTCCTCCGGCCTCCCCCCCGCCGCTCCCCGCAGCCCCTCTCCGACCCCGCCCTCCTTCGGCCCCCTCTTCCCCGAGCCCCATCCCCTCCCCTTCCTCGACCTCTCCATCCCGCCCCTCCCCGAACCCCCCTCATCCGGCCACCCCCCGCCCCCCTCGGCCGTCCCCCCCTCGAGACCCCCTCCTTCGCCCCCTCCCCTCTCCAAGCCCTCATCCCCCCTCCCGACCCCCTCCTCCGGGCCTCCCCCTGCTCTCTCCGTCCCCCCCCTCCGGACGCCCCCTCCTCTGCCACCTCCCCTTCCCCGAGCCCCCCATCCCTCCCCCCTTCCTCGACCTCCATCCCCCCCCCCCGGCAGCCCCCCTCCCCCTCCCGACTCCCCCCTCAGCAGCGCCCCATCCCCCCGACGCGAACCCCCCTTCCTTGAGCCCCCATCCCTCCCTCCCCATCGGCAGCCCCCCTCGCCCTCGTGAGCCCGCGCCGTCCCTCCTCTGACACGCGCCCCCGCCCATCGGCAGCCCCCCCTCCCGACCTCCACCCTCCCGAGCCTCCCCGGCGTGTCCGTTGTTGAATCAGTTTAAAAGGTATGATTTTTCTACTGAGCTTTAGAAATTTTAATTTTATTATTATTTATTGTTGAATTTGGTTTAAAACCCTAATTATGATAAAAAATAAACGAGTTAAATTCTGAAAACCCTAACTCAACTACATGTTAATTCATTTGAACAACACTAGTAATCATTATTGAGTTTTAAACACTTACAAGTTTATACTCATTTAAGTTTCATTCGTGCTATAAGTATGTGTGATTATTTAAGTTTGTGATGTGAAAATATGTGAAATAATTTTTTTTTTAAAATAGAGTGATATATAACACATTATAAATTTTTATAATGTGTTATAATCCAATTTAGGTGAATAAAAAAATAACGTTATCCCTAGACTTCCGTCCAATAATTACATCCAATTATTTGGACTTATAATATATGATATACGATTCAGATTTGGGTAGGAGACGAAGTTTTCTCCCAAAAATGAGCGTTTATTTTATATTATAGGAATAAAAAATTAGTACTGAAATTCGTAATTATTGGATCTGTCCTTCTCGGACGGGTTAGGAATATAGTAGTGCATACATCCAACTTTGTATACTTTGTATATTTTCATTCTTGAAAGTTTTGGCAGCACCTATTCGTTATTCTCCGTGTACAATAAGCGTATATTGTTCTGCGTTTCGGGTTATTACTGATACGCATAATAACATCCGCACAGTGTAAAGGGAGAACAGCGGGTAGGTTCTGCCAAAATTTTCAAGAAATAAAAATATACAAAGTATATGAAGTTGGATGTAAGCACTACTATATTCTTAATTGATAGAAGCCTTCTTATGACAGCCGCAAGATTAGTGTAATTAGTTTTTACGTATGTTTTATATATATTTTATGTAGATAAATATTCATATTGTTAAATGATATATGAACGTATGTTTGATGTGTGTTGAATGTATAAGAGTAATGGATGTATTAGTAGTTGTGAGACTAATCGTATTTAATATTTATATATAATTACAGATGAGGATAATTCCTAACAAGTCATGGATAGATATCCCTAGGCATCGTAGATTTCACGACACACGATACAAGGAGGGATGTGAAGCCTTCATGCGTTATGCGGAAATGAATCCGAGAAATTTAAAAAGCGGTGCTATGTACTGTCCTTGTTGTAGGTGTAGGAATTTGAAGCTGCTGAATAGAAATGATATACGGAATCACCTAATAAAATCAGGTTTTGATAAGAAATATAAATACTGGAACTGGCATGGGGAGGGTATCATTGAAGATGAGGATCCAAATATGCATGTTGGTACGTCCGGTGGCCAACGAATAGATGACACAGAAACATTGTTGAATGATATTTTTCCTCGACCTACAGAATATGATGTTGATGATAATGTCGAGGATGATATTGGAGACAAAAGTGAAGATGATAACGAAGTTGAAGCTGAAGAGGTAGGAGGTGTCGAAAGTGTCGAAAATATTGATGATATGCATTCCTCCGCAGAAATAAAGCGAATAATGGAGCTACTAGAAGATAGTGAAAAGGACTTATATGAGGGATGTACCGAGTACTCCAGATTTTCATTTATGCTGAAACTCCTTCATATTAAGACACTTAGCGGTATGTTAGATAATTATTTTAAAATGCTTCTTGATTTGCTTCGGACTGTAATCTCTGGAGGAGAGAATAGCATACCCCAAACAACTTATCAAGCTGAGAAGATTATCTCTGCTCTGGGTCTTGATTATAATAAGATTGATGCATGTCCGAATGATTGTATTTTGTACCACAAAGCCAATAAAGACCTTCAAGAGTGTCCGACATGTGGAGTTTCTAGGTGGAAACAGCGCACAAATTCTTCAACAAGGATTACAACGGAGACAGAGATAACACAGAAGAAAATTCCAGCCAAGGTGCTTCAACATTTTCCATATACTTTCATTACTGATACCCGGTAAGCATGCTCCGGGAAATGATATTGATGTCTACTTAGAGCCTCTAATTGATGAGCTAAAACAATTATGGTCTGAGGGTATTTTAGCATATGATGCCCATTTAAAAGAGTCGTTTAGATTACGTGCTATTCTACTATGGACGATTAATGATTTTCCAGCTTATGCTAATCTGTCAGGGTACTCTACGAAGGGCAAGTGTGCTTGTCCTGTATGTGGTCCAGAATTTGAAGCTATTCAATTACCACATAGCCGAAAGAGTTGTTATTGGTTTAATCGAAGGTGGTTGCCTTTGAGTTATAAGTACAGAAAATTACCAGCTAAGTTTGATGGTACAGTTGAGAAAAGAATGAAGCTGCGTCAACTGACAGGTACTGAGATCGTTCAATTACTTGAGGGGTTTCCAAAAGTTGTGTTTGGGAAAAAACGCTATTCTAAATTTAACACGCTCGGAGTAAGAGATTACTTAAAGTTAAAAAAGCCATTGAAGCGTAAGCGAAAGGTCCGTAAAATGCAAGTTGAGGACGAAGCCCAAACATTACCTAGAGGATGGACTAAATTTAGTATCTTCTTTCAGCTACCTTACTGGCAGAATCTAAAAATCCGACACAACTTAGATGTTATGCATATTGAGAAAAATATATGTGATAACATAGTATCAACTCTCCTACAAGATGTAAACAAGTCGAAGGATGATCTACGGGCGCGCCAAGATCTGACTGCTTTGAATATCCGAAATGATTTCCAAGCTCAAGACGTTAGCCTTAAAAAATTAAAGTTGTCTCCGTCTCATGTTACAATGTCAAATGAGCAGATGCAACGAGTTTGTGAAATTCTCAAATCGGTAAAGTAGCCGGATGGTTACTCTGCTAACATTTCAAATAATGTCCAGGTGCAAGAGAGAAAACTCTTAGGTCTGAAGACACATGATTATCACGTTCTTCTCCATCAATTGCTCCATGTTGCAATCCGTAACAATATGGATAAAGAAGCGTCGAAGATTATTATTGAGTATTGTGGATTTTTCAGAAAATTATGCTCTAAAATCATAGATGTAGATGACTTTAAGAAACTTGAAGCCGATGTCTGAGTTACTCTATGCAATATGGAAGTAATATTCCATCCTTTATTTTTTACAATTATGGTCCATCTTACCCAGCATCTTACAAGAGAGGCTAGAATCACCGGTCCTGTTACTTATCGTTGGATGTATCTGATTGAAAGGTAATTTATGATTTTTCTTATATTTATTAATTGTATACGCGTTTTTAAAATTACTGTGCTAATAATTAACTTTTATGATTATAAGATACTTGGGCTGCATGAAAAACAATGTTCGCAATCGAGCTCGTCCCGAGGGCTCGATAGCTGAAGGATACGTGGCTAACGAATGCTTTGTGTTTGCATCACGTTACATGCGTAAGAAGAAAACCACATCTCAAGCACCTCAAAAGGAGAGGAAGCGTGAAAAATACCCGAGATCTCTCTTAGATCAAATTCATGCATATGTGTTGGAAAACCTTGATATGTTCGAAGACTATCGAAGGTAACAAATAAAATATATAATATAGATGAGAAATATTCATTTTACATATAGTTTATCAATATAAACTTATATATTGTTTATATAGGCGACATCTGGAGAAGCTTAAGAATGAAACAACCGGTAGGAATGCAGCGCACAATATTCAGAAAAGACATAAGAAAGAATTTTCTGATTGGTTAAGATTTGATGTAAGTGTTTTACAATTAATTATTGAACATTCATAATATAACATCGCCTAAATATTCTCAAATTGTTTGTCTTAGGTTGAAAAATCACTTCTTGATGATACTACATTACCAGATGAAATTATTATCCATGCACAACGTCCTTATCACGAAGTGAGACGTTATAATGAGCATTTGGTGAATGGATATAAATTTCGAACGTTAGAGACCAATGATAGGAGGGTAACTCAGAACAGTGGGGTCATGGGCTTGTTTGCTCAAGAATGTTTTTCAAGTATAAGAGATCAGAATCCAATTCTAGCTGACATATTATATTATGGCCAATTAGAAGATATCGTTGAGGTAATTTACGGGTTTGGTAAACCAAAACAATGTACTTACACGATGTTCAAGGTTCGGTGGTGTCCTGCAAAAAAGCAAAAGGATCATTATGGATTTACACTAGTCAATCTTCACCGAGAAGTATATACGGATGAGAAATTCATTTTCGCAGAACAAGCTGATCAGTGCTTCTATGTGAAAGATCCGAATGTCATGTCTGATTGGGTGGTTTTGTATAAGGAGCCAAGATCTGTTGTTCTTCCTAATAACAATGAAAAAAATATTGAAGAAAGTGAAGATAATTATAGTGAACCAATTGGGTCATCTGATGACGTTTGGCAAGAATTCTCTTACACACAGAATATGGCGTTGAATATAGGTATGAACTATATATGTTACACCACATTATCGATTTTTATCTTATCATAATAAAAACAATAATGCATTTCATAACAACATATCTCATGAGCATGTATACAATTTTTTCTTAACGATTGTCTTTATTATATTTGCAGATGAGGAGGAGGATGAGGAGGCTCTTTGACCTGGAGGGTGATCGCTCACGGAGTATCACCCCAGGTAGTGGTGCTGATGATCCACTACCATCTCCGGATGCAGGTATAAAAATTAATTAATACTTTAACATGTTTTATAAATTTTTAGTTATCTAGCTCATAGTGTTCATTTGTTGTAGATGCTGGATATTCATCACCCGGCCCCTCTGATGCAGCACCAGAACCATCCCCCGACGCAGGTATTAAATATTTAATAATTGATAATGTTCAATTAAAATTTAATATTAATGATTCTTCTTTCTTATGTAGGTGCTACTTGGACCCCGACATATCCATCATATACATTCCATACTGACTTGCGGCCAAAGACCCAGGACTTTCTCAGTTTACCTTTACCTCCGGACTCTCATAAGTCCAAGGCTGAATCAAGGAAGTACCACCCACGTGCTGCGAGAAGGTATCAGGAAATGCTTCCTATGTTGGAGACTAGGAAAGCTGTTGCACTCGCAGCAAAAGAAAGAGAGATAGCGAATGGTAAATTATATAAATACTTTTAATTTTCACATTTGTATATTATATGATATATTATCATGTTGTCATTATTGTAGGTGCTAAGAAGGATCGCATAGAGGGACGACGTGGCGGAGGTAAGCCTGATTCTAAACAACCGCCAAGAGGAATGAGGGGCATTATTAGGTGGAATAGTTCTAATTTGCCCGTTGGTCCTTGGTCAACCCGATTGAATGCATATATTGGGGTTCTCGTGCGTAGAGCGACCATTATCAACCCTTATTTTCATTTTCGAGAATTACCATGGACCGCATACGAGGCGATATGGACTGCGCTTATGGTAAGTGCATATTGTTTTAGATTTTCATTTATTAATAATTAGTAATTGATATTAAATTATCCTTACTAAATGTGTATGTAAATCTACAGGACTGCTTCTGCCTTGAGGACTTTGAGGGGGCTTGGAATTATGTGTTTAATGTCAAGGTTGAAGCAGTCCTCAAACAATGGAGGCATGAGATCAAACATGAAACCTATGACAGGTATGAGGAGGACTGGCAGAGGTTTTTAAACCTCGATGACCGAGTTGACGAGATTCATTTCACGGCTCTCCTCATGTATTGGGACAGCGATGCCGCCAAGGTTAGTTTCATGAAATTTAGTTTATAATTTTAAGATATTATTTCATTTTATATTTACAGAATTTTTTTAAAGAATAAATCCACGAAGGGGTCAGAAAATAGAAGAAAGAAGCTGCATGACCATCACTTGGGCTCACACTCCTACGCCAATCTGGAGGATGTTTATTGTCAAGATACGGTATATGTCATTTAAAGATTTAAAAGATCTTAATGTTTAGTATGATTATGAAATCTCATAATTTATAATATGACAGGGGAAATCATTAATGCCGATACACTTGAGGGCCAGAGCGGCATATGGTACTTTTCGTGAACAATATAGGGGTGATGAGAGGAATCGGGATAAGATCACGGCAAATCTCGAGTTAGTGGTGAGACTTATACATATCTTTAGTAGTATTATTAATTCTATTTTGTTAACATTATGAGGAAACGAGAACACAAATAATATGGTCATTATCTTGAATTAACTATAAATATGTGATTTAGGAGGGATTTGAGACTGCATCCAAGGAGGCTGCATCTGTGTACATGTCGCAGGAGGAGGAACAAATCGAGCCGGACCCTCACATGCTTTCTGCAGAGGAGAACATCAATCTCACACAGAACTTGATGGGTCATAATAGGTAAGGATGGTGAAAAATCGAATCAATTTGAATACTACATACTATTTATATTTGTTTACCATTATTGAATTTGAGAGCAAAGTTTAATATTTATTTCTCCCTAATAATAGGAGAGGAAGATATCCTCTGCATGGTGTCGGAGCTTCACCCGGTATAAGCATTAGATCGTCCACAGCATCCTCTACACCATCTACATCGCATAGAGCAGCCACAAGCAGTTTCCAAGCTATGCCATTTGTCGCACGTATCTCTACCTTCTTGATTGACAAAATTGACCTGGAGCTACATATTCAGGTGACTAATGAGATGACTAGAGTTGCGCTGACGGCGAACTCGATGGACGATCTCATGGGGTATGTTATACAATATTTAGGCGGTGCTATTCCTTATAGCGCGTATGGTGGTGTCATACGGATTATTAGCTCGATTGGCGATAATTCCGGCGCTAGACAGAGTAGTGCTCAGGTACCTTATTTTTTCTTATATTTATAAATTTATTTTTATCTAATATGTTATCAAACACCACATAATGATTATTCAATTAAACATTCAGAGTGGAGATATTGGAGGGAGCAGCACCCGTTCTCGTAATCGGGATAGAGATACCCCCGCCGACGACGATGGATGAGGTTTTTTTATTTTTAATGCAATAAACAGTTTTATTTGTTATAACACTACATTTATTCATGTCGTGTATCATATCTTAGTCATGTGCATTGTTAGTATATATGTTGTTGGATGTGTTTTAGACGGAACTGGTTGATGTATATTTTGAAGTGGATGGTTGGATTTGTACAATGTGTTGGATTTGGTTATATAGATGTTTTTGAATGGAATTGTTATGAATTTTGATTATGATTGGATGGTTGAATGTGGCGTGTATAGTATTTTCTGGATGTATTCAAATATTAATGTAATTGTACAGGGAAATGCAAATTTTAATTAATTTTTTTTCCCTGAAAAAAGGCAATCTAGACGGAATTCCATCTAGATTGAGTCAACCTAGACGGAATTTCCATCTAGATTGTGAAAAACCAACCTAGACGGAAATTCCGTCTAGGTTGACAGACCAGATGGAATTCCGTCTGGTTTGTCAACCTAGACGGAATTTCCGTCTAGGTTGACAGACCAGACGGAATTTTGTCTAGTTTGTCAACCTAGACGGAATTCTTTATTCCGTCTAGGTTGACTTCCGTCTAGATTGATCAACCTAGACGAAATTCCGTCTAGTTTGCATCAATCTAGACGGAAGCAAAATAAACCACTCAAACTAGACGGAATTCCGTCTAGATGACCTAATCTAGACGGAATTTCAATCAACCTAGACGAAAATTTCCGTCTAGGTTGATCGTTTTTCTACTAGTGCGACAGAGTCCCTTATTCATGTTTGGGATTTGGATCTCCTCCAACGTGATACATGCAAATCAAATTAGTTGTTGAATATTGATAGTTAATAATAGATAATTAAAGAATATTAACACATCAATATTTATTTAATGTGAAACTAACTATTTTTATAAATAATATGCTCTGTTCTGAAGATGCAAGAAAATAATTCTAATATTAACAGATCAAACCTATTGTATATAATAGGATACGTCAATGACAACGGAAAAGACAACTTAATTACTTAAAAAAACAAGAAACATATGACAACGAGTCCTCCAATTCAATGCAGCAGGGCCTATCTTTCACAAGAAACATAAAATTTACTTATGAAGTAACCTTAGTCTTTGATTGGGAAGGATCCCTCGATTTACTTCTGCTAGACATCTCCAACAACTTGTCAACAAGAATTTCAAAAAATATAAAACAATTATTATGAATCTCCCAGCCGCAAGCTCAGTTCCTTTATGCATCAGAAAAATTAATGTATTAACTATCAAATTTAACTAAAAAATCCTTTGTGATAGTGAACTTTTCTCCTTCGCCTGAAAGTTGATCTTGCCTTGTCGTGATGCACCAAAATAAGAGCGAGAGAGGTGCGTGATGACAAAATAAGAGCGAGAGGGTGCATTTATACAATCTAGAGAGATTAAGGGTAAGTATTTCTAGGATTTTGAGATTGATTTTTGGGTTTTGAGGTTTGAGAATCGCCTCTTCGGGCTTGATGGGGATCAACCCTATTTGGGAAAGTGAAACGAAGGATAAGGGAAAGACCGGTTGTATATGGGGATGAATGGTAGTGTAGAATTGGCGAAACAGCGATGAAGTTCGGATTTTTTGAAGCAGGGAACATTTTGGATGCTGCACAATCGATCACAAGTGGCGCTACGGTCGACTGCAAACATGCACAGCACAGGGAAAGTCTCTGAACTTTTCACAGTTGACCGCAAGTGGCGTGGCGGTCGACCAGCAAAACCCTATAGTGTTTTTTAGTTTCGGTCGTTGGATCCGATCGACCGCGATGGGTTCGGCGGTCAACCGCGAGTCGGGTCTGGGACTACTTCAGTTTTGTACACTGTTTGGGTTTCCTGTTTATATAAATAGGAACATGATTTGTTTAGGGTTTATTGGATCATATTGATCACTTTTGGAGCAGTGAAGGGGATATTTGGAGCACAGAAAAGAGGTATTTTCTGAGCTAGTGGTTAGGGTTTTATTTGGAGAGAATTAGAACTTTGTTGGTGAGATTAATTGGTGAGTTTGTGTAATTTTGTAATCTCGGTTTGTACTCTTCTTCTCTATTAGTAAAAACTTCATCCCCTTCTTACCCCGTGGACATAGGCAACTTGTCGAACCACGTTAAACTTTGTATTTGAGTTTGTGTCATTATTATTTGATTTGAGTTACCTTCTCTCTCAGTGTTTGGTTTGGTTCCTCCGCGCATAACAAGTGGCTTCCGTGCACAACAATTGGTATCAGAGCCCAACAAGTGGTATCAGAGCTCAGGCTACGCTTGGGCTATTTGGAAGAGTAGATCGCTTTAGAAGCTCGTCAAGGGTTTCAATTGGAGTTAAAGGTGGGATCTTTTTGGTAAAAATTCTATCTTTTCTCAATTTGGATCTATTCTTTAGTTTGTTCTGTATTGGTTGTTGGTGTGTTGAGGAAGATGACTGGGAAAGAAGGTACTTCGGGTGTTGAGGGTGGTGCTTCTGGCGTGAAGACTATTGATAATTTGAATATCTACTCTATGAAGATAGATGTGGAGAAGTTTAATGGCATGAACAGTTTTGGATTATGAAGATGTGAGGTTTTGGATGCGCTGAATGCGCAAAATTTGAAAGATACTTTGGAATTGGATAGCAAGCCAGATGATATTGATGAGAAGGTTTGAAAGAAGGTAAACAAAATGGCGTGTGATGTGATTAGGTCTTATTTGACTCAAGATTTAAAGTATGATGTGATGAATGAGACTTCGCTAAGAAGATTTGAGAGACCCTTGAGAGCAAGTATATGACCAAGAGTATGAAAAATCGCTTGCATTTGAATATGAGGCTTTATCACTTCCAATTGAAGAAGGAAACCTCCATTGGTGATCACATGAACCACTACACGAAGCTTCTTGCGGATTTGGCGAATGTGAATGTTATGATAGAGGATGAGGACAAAGCTTTGTTATTATTGAGTCCCTTGCTAGATGAGGAATATGAGACCTTTGTTCTTACCCTAATTAATGAGAAGACGTCCCTTTCGTATAGTGAGGTTACTACTGCACTTGTGAATTATCAGCTTCGAAAGAAAGATAAGGAGTCTACAAGTGACAAAACAGTAGAGGCATTGATCGCAAGTGGGAAGAATCCAAACTGAAAGAATGGGAAGTCACAGTCTAGAGTAGGACATCCTATAGTTGGCAAAGATCAGTGTGCTTTGTGTAAAGTGATTGGTCATTGGAAGAAAGATTGTCCAAAGCTCAGTGATTGGATGAAGAATAAGCAGAAGGGAAAAAGGAAGCAATCATCATCAGAAGTGAACATCATTATATAGGATGGTAATCTTTCTGATTATCTGTTTATTCACTTTCTATCAGTCTCATAGGTTGCTATTCGGAGGAATCTGAGTGGATGTTAGATAGTGATGCGACCTATCATGTGTGCTCTAGAAGGGAATGGTTCACCAGTTTTGAGAAGCTAGAGAGTGGTGTGGTATACATGGGTGACAATTGTGCATGTTAGATCCTTGGGATAGGAAGAATTCACATCAAGATGTATGACGGGACAGTTAGAAGTTACATGGCGTGAGATATGTTCATTCTTTAAGTAAGAACTTGATCTCGATTGAAGTTTTAGTTGGTAGGGGTCTGAAAGTTTGTATTGAGGATATGGTTCTCGAGATTGTGGAAGACTCTTTGTTTGTGATGAAGGGTGTCAGGAAGAATAACCTGTACTATTTGATTGGGAATACGGTGACAGGTGGAGAGCTGATGATTTCTATTAATTTGACTAGACTGCGGCATTTGAGGCTTGGTCATTCCAGTATTGATTTGGAAAAGGGTGCATCGACCTACAATTTGAAGTCCAGTGAACATTTTGATGTGAACTAGAAGACCAATATGAAGTTTGGCACCTCTATTCACCATACGAAGGGTCTTTTCGATGGAATTAACATGGGCATTTGGGAGCCTTCCAAGGAGGCATCATTGGGAGGTAATAGATATTTGGTTTCCTTTGTTGGTGGTTGTTCTAAGCATGCTTGGGTTGCAATAAAATCCCGATTGGATAAATTCCTAGTAGTCTTCAACAGATTGAAGAAGTGTGAGATTGGCATAAAGGTGAAGGTACTTCATTCTGATTTTGGTGGGAGGTATAAGAGGGACTTGTTTTTGCATTTGAGCCGAGCTCATGGCATTTTAAGATACTTCGGTGGAAAGAAAATCTTAGGACAACGATATAAGATAGCAGATTTGGTGAGCTATTCCTTGCTGGCGGAGGACCGACGTTTGATGTCGAGCAATA